GCTGTCTCTGCTTGCACGGCTCCTGCAGAACCCATGCCGGCAGGACTTCACAGACCAGGCTCTGCTGATATCTAAGACCTCCCCCAGCTCTGTCCCTAGCATCATGACTAGATTCATTCTTCTTTTATGCTGCAGGGAAAGGCAAAGAAAAGTGAGATATGAACTCAAGAACTTTACAGAGCGATCCTTAACCCTTGTTCTTCTCCCAGAGGTCTTCTTCTATCTCCCTTGGGAGGTGGACACTACAGTAACAACAGCAACCAAATCCCTCCGAAGGTGTTTAGCAATTCTTGATGCTGGTGGTGTACTTCCATGATCCTAATTAATCTCTCAGAGAAAAGCTAGCAGTGCTCACAAAATCTGCCAAACAATAAAGACCAAAGTCAGTAAAACCCATAGCTTGTGAGGAGCGCCAACACACCGAAGAGAAAACACCACAGGATAATAATAGCAGTAACCAAAGGATACAAGGTTTATTGATCAAGTCAGATATTGCATGTCTTTCCTCACTACAGCATCCTCAGAATCTTGTCTCCAAAACCTCCAGGGTAGGAACTGTTATCTCTGGTTTACAGCTAGGGAATTGGAACAAAGGAAAAACATCCCAGACATTTTCCTTAGGACAGGCTCTGCTGCCTTCTGCGGATGCTCCGCTCTCCATAGCCATGGAGGGAACACAGGTACCTAACATCCAGGTGGTTCAAATTTTCAGTTAAATTCCTCTCTATGGCCTACTCAATTAGACCTCAAAACAACTATCTTCTTTGCTGTATTTTACCGCTGAGCAATCGCTTCAGGATGTGACAAGGATCTCAAAGCGTACCGAAAAGCACACAGACCACTTCTTGTCCAACAGACCTGGGCTAGGAGAGATGAGTTTTGCTTTACTTTTGGTTTCCCTTCATGCGTTTTCATTTTGCTGTTAGAAATTTCGTAATTTGATGGTAAACATGAAAACCCAAAAATCTTAAACCGCAACTTGAGGCCAAACTGTGACAAAGCACAGAAACCAGCCATTTTCCCCGAGAACTCAGAGTCTGGGATCCTGACGTCACTGAGCATGGGGTTAAAGGGATGGCAGAGGAAAAGAGAGGTGAGGAAAAGAAAAGCTCTGTTAAAACTAGTCAGATGAACTGAGAGTGGGTCAAATTTAAAAAATGCCTTTATCTTTGAATTTATCTTTAATTTTTCTTTAGTTTGAACCAACAGATATGACTTAGAGCAGTAGTTCCACTGAAAGATTTGCCCTGTGGAGCAAAACAGAGTAATACACCACTTTGCAGAGATGGAAAGTCCTACTCTCACAAGCAGAAACCCGCCTGACACCTCAGAGAATGGGAATGCACCCAGCTACCAACATCCATGTGCATATCTGCCCATGCACCATGTACAAAGTGAAATCAGTGAGTTATTATATAAATAAAAGTATTTCATTAAATATCTTTCCCTGTTTATAACTGATGGAAGCGTCTAAAATAAATATTACAAAATTAATGAAAAGAACTGGTTTTATGACAATCGAATAAATGCTATGCTAGTTATGGAAATGATGCTGAAGTTGATGTGAACACATGTACTTTCCTCCCACGAGAAAAATAAGCAAAGCATTACATAATATTTGCTTTGTCCATTCATCTCCAAATTGTCATTTGTTAGGATCTGAAAAAAGTGAGTAGAAATCTAAACAAGAACAGATTAAAGAAAAATCTCCTGTAAATACCTGTTATACTCCTGCTGATCATACCATTTTCAAGTTGTGTCTCTCATCTCTTTCAGAATATGTGAATTGCTGCATGTAAAGCAGTGCTAAAAATACATAAAACCAGAGCCTTTCTTCCACCAGTAAAATATTGTAAAATAATATCAATCCAAGCAATGCATCCACCAGCCTTTGGAAGTCAGCAGGCGTCATCCCACTGGGTCCACCAGGGACTGGCTTATGCCCTGAAGAAGTGCAGCTGGTGGGAAGTCCTCAGCCACATCCTGGGAAACATTCCCCCAGACCCCACCGTCCCTTCCTCTAATACAAAACTCATGACTACCTCCCTGCTGAAGAAAACAACAGCATCTGCTTAAAAGCTTTGGAATGGAGACCGGGATAAATGATGCAGAGCTCGCTGGATAAATAGAAGAGTTTCTGTGACTGCAGAAGACTTGAAATAGTCTTCCAGGACAAAATGTGGAACACATCACTGCTGTTTTACAGAGCCATGGCAAGAGTGCTTCTGAATACTTGTTCTTCCGGTATTCCCCAGTGAATTGAGCTTCTGAGGATTTATAAAAACAAACAAAAAAAAGCAAGAAAAGCTGAAAATTACTTCTATTACCTGAAAACATGTGAAACAGAGCCCCTGCTGGGCTCATAACGCTCCCAAGGATTAAGACAAGAAAGATTTGGCATTGGGCATGGGTCGGACAGCTTGCCCTGGCCATTACTTTGTGGGTTTGCTGTTTGTAACTGCTGGAGTGGGTTTACCTCCAGAACTTTCCCACTGAAGGTCTTGCTTTATCGGGAACACCCTCTACACACGTATTTGTACAGGAACTGAATTACTTGAAAAAGCTTCCATCATCCACCTGTCCACCATCCACACATCACCGCAACCAACCCAAACCATGCTGGGCTCTGGATGGACATGTGGAAAAGATGAGGTACGCTGACAAAAAGAGAATATAAACTAAATGGCTAAGATGGAGGATCCAAGTGGCCAGAAAACAAAAACTGTTCTAGTTCTTACAGCAAATCAGTGACTGAAAAGGGGAAAGAAGCCACTTTCCATCCCCCTTATTCATGGGGACCATTGCTCCACTGTTTGTATAGCGGTTCTTGTGTGCAGATGCACAGGGGACTCTGCAAATCAGCTCTTACTGAGTTTATTATTCATGTTTCTTCTCTGCCGTTCAAGATCATCAAGGCCTGCAACACCACACATGCCAATCTGTAGCGCAAGCTATATGAAAATCTTGCACAATATCACCGTTCTCACCCATCGCTATTGCTCTCTGAGGAACTAGTCTTAGTCAACCATTTCTACGAGCCACGCTGCTGCTGTCCTCCCGAGCTGTGCCAACCCAGTGTCCCAAGAGCAACAGGCTGGGGAGTATCACAAGTTTTCACAGCCCTGGTCATCTTTAATTTACAACCACACTGAGCAATCTTTTCTTGAGTTTTTAATGTTTGCAATGGATAGCAAAGGTATGTCCCAGCAAAGTTGTGGTAGCCAAAATATACCCCATCCAGACTCGGTGCATACACCTGGTAAACTGCAGCAACGGAAAACCCCCGCAATGGCTTTGTGCCGCTGCTCTCCACACTTTCCACAGCACTGACCCTCCTCTCTCACACTGTTCATGTGAGAGCCCAGGACATGGTACCACCAGCCCCATCAGCCCTGACAATGACCTCTGCCCTGGTGGCATGTCCATTTACAGGACAGACTTGGGGCCCCATCCACATATCCTACATTCTACCCTTCCATGTCTTTCATCTTACACCTTTTCATGACGTTTACCTTCTATAAATTACTTTTTTTGTGCAGCTAAAATTAAACACCTATAATGACGACGACTTGCTATAGGAGATCTGAAAGAGAAGCTGTGTGTCATCAGGAGTAGTCCTAGTCATGATAACCACAAAAGTCATCATCAGAATAACCACGACCCTAGTAATAACGATATGAGTAAGAACTCTTGTGTCCGCAAGGGCCCCCTCAGCTCCGAATTAAGGCAGTTCGTGCAGGCTGGTCCAGCCCATTCGTACCGGAGCCAGTCTTCCCTACAACAATCCATGTGCTTTAAAACTGCCACCAGTAGCAGACTAAGCCTGCCATGATCCTTCTACGCTCTACAGGGAAAGACAGATGCCTCCAGAGGATGATCTAAGATCCAAGCCATTTTCTGCAATCTCTAGAGACAGAGCCAAAGACACCTCTGCTCCAAATTTAGATACATCAGTGCGGGCAGGATGGAGCCAGGCCTAATGCAGATGAACCCACAACCAGCTGAGAAGGCTCCAGCTTGCCTGCAGGCTCGTCTCTCAGGAGGCTCCTCGTGTCATTAATCCACGTGACTGCTGGCTGGGACAGAAGCATGCTTTGATAAAAACCTGTGCCGGCACACCAGTAAATAGCTCTGATGAAAGTGCTGCAGATACCACAACACATAATCAAGTGCATAAATAATTTGTTATACAACAGACCTTGGAAAAAACAAATCAGTTGATTATTAGTAATAACTATGTATATTGCAGCATCTTATCCCTGGAGGGCCCAAAAGAGGTCAGTTGTGCTGAGCACAGAACACTGTATAAAAGCAAATCTGCCATAATATTTAAGCATCTGAAATCAGAATAAATGAGAGCTGCACAAGTCACTTTATAAAAAAGTGAAAATAAGTACCAACAATACAGCAGACACATGAAAGTCATTTAGTGAACATCTTTATCAGAGACACAGCAACAAAGAATGGCTCATTATTTCCCATAAACCATATCAAAACAGACTTTTAATTTTCCAATAATAAATGCTGAGCATTTCCAAAATAACTAATTTGCCCTTACGTTTTCCTTCCCATTCCTGATGCTGATCATTCACATTCAGAGTCAGAGCAGACTACGCAGATCTGCATGCAGATCAGCGAAGTTGGAACAGCTCCTGCTCTCATTTTTTTCTCCTCGTTTTACACAGCATCAACAAATGAGATCAGTATCACGTCTGCATTTATAGAAATATGTCCTCCTATCTCACATGCTTGTTCCTGTGTCAAGAAATTTAAAGCTAGGCATTGGGAAAATAATGATTGCCTCACACTTTTTTTAAAATATAAATGGGACTTCTATGTCATTTTTACATCTATATTTACATTAAAATCATGGACTCAGGGAGCCGAACAACACAGCATCAAAAATGTAACAACCATAAGACTCTTCCTGCTGTGTATTTAGGGCGGAAATAAATCAACAACTTTCTCTCAGCAAAACCACATGGAAAGGAAATAAGGGTCTACTTACACTGTACAATGAGCTGTACCAAAGCTTCTCTGGGTTTCACATTAAACCCGTTGTATTGGCTGGTCTGGCACCTGTAGGTTCCCGTCATCTCCCTGGACACGTTCACTATCCTCAGGATCCCATCGTAGCTCTCCGTCTGCATCGCCCCATCCGGCATCGCGACCTCCTTGTCTGCTCGGGACCAGAGAATGATGGGCTTGGGCTTCCCTGTCACCTGGCACTGCAGCTCAATCGTGTCCCCTTCCCGGGTGACCAGGGGTGACTTTTCTTGAGGAACAGTCAAATTGGGTGGGACTTCAAAGAAGAAAAAGAGATGGTTCAACAATTAGCATTATAGAGACATCAAGTGACTTTTTTGCTTGTACAGTCATAATTATATATGAAGAATTCCTTCATACACAGACAGCAACACACAGTGACTACACGTATTGGAAGACTGTTCAGTGCTACTATGTTCATGAGACATGGTGCTCAGCTGCTTGAAGTGGTTAAAATAAGATTTAACAGCCCCAGCTATGACACTTATTTGCCTCCCGGTGAATCTCCGACACACCAATGTGCCATACCAGTGTACATCAGCACTTTCGGACCACCGGTCGCAGCTAGCACTTTATCACTGCAAGTTACGGCCTTCCTTTTTATGAGTATTTGGCACTAAAACCCCTTTTTTATAACAGACTGGCTGCTGATTTTATCCCGCTTGTAATGGCTGCGCAATGAGAAAGAATGATGCCAATTCGGAAATCAGCTCAGAATTCAAGACTTGAAACCAAAACACAGTTGGCGTCTTTCTATCACAGGAGGTTTATTACAACGGTATTTTTTCGTAGGGATTTGCATTGACAAATCTGGAGGCATATGTGAACAACTGTTTCCAGCAGGAGTTAGGCATCCCCTCGGAGCAGGAATACCCGGCACTGCCGCACAGTGAGCTGGCCATGCCCAAGGGCCCGTCCGTCCCTCCTCCACTCCGCGGTCCTGCAAGAGCGAGACTTTCTAATTGCCCCAGTGCCTCTCCGAGTTATTAGCCACGGCTCCGCATCACCAGTCCTCGGCAGTGAAGCGAAGAGCTTGCTCGCCATGGAAGAGATGCTCCTGTGCAAGTTACTTGATCAGAGGAGAAATGGCGCAGCACCCCGGCAAAGGCATCGGTGTTTGCACGACGGGCATCTCAGTGAGCTTCCACCGTCAGTCCCACCAGAGGCAGCCCCTCTGTCTCAAGTCATTTAGGTGACAACGCTGGATAATTACAAAGCACTGCAAGCTCCACCAGCCTGACAGGAATGGTTTTGCCAATTATCATTCCCATCTCGTCATACCTAGACTGGGTTTATATCCAATTTCTTACTCCTCTCGCAGCACAACACAAACGAAAGCCCCGCCTCTGAAGCTGCCTGTGATCTTCAGATCACACATGGTGCCTTCGGCGCTGCGGACTCTTCCTTAGGGCTGCCGTGTGGTGGGTAACGATACGGAAAAGCCTGATTTGAACACTGCCTGCCCTCTCTTTCCTTTTGTGCCTTCTGAAAACTCAGGTGCCCTTATGGGTCTTCTGTTCTGAATCAGGCAGAGAGATGCTTTCTGTTTTAAAACCGTCCCTCCTAAGAGCATCACCTCTCCACGCTGCGCTGCCCTCAAGTACTTTGCTTGAATGCCAGGACTGACAAAATACAGCCCGCACCGTAACTCCTGTCTGCAGCAAAACATAATCAAAGGCTATTTTCAGGCCCTCAGGGGCAGAAACAACAGACTTGTACCAGTGAGAAACAGTTCCAGTTTTCCCCCAGGATCTACCCCGTGTCTATGGACCTGACAAGCCTGCTAGGAATCAGAGTTTAGATCGGGGATTTCATAGGTACCAAAATGCTGGTTTCAGCTGTTTTGAAGACTTTAATAGCTCCTCTGAATCTGGTGGGACATGCAAAAGTGGAAATAACTTTTTCCACGGGAGAGTAAAGGAAAAATTATTTTATACTTCAAAAAAAGAAGGGGAAAAAAAAAAAAAAAACAGAAAAGAGAGAAGAGAGAGAAAGACTGTTTAATAAAACATTCCCAACATTAATAAAACATTCTTACTTTTCATTTATGCTTGTGTGTGCCATAGCAGGTCCTGAGCACAGGCCAGTGCCCAGGAGACCTGGATCACTTGGAGGGAGCCCAGAGAAGAACCACCTCATGAAGATGCCCAGAAGCCCCTGGTGAGGAAAGGCTGCGGGACACGAGACAGTCCACCCCAGTGAAGGGAGAGTGGTACAAAGCCATGACAGCAGTCTTGTCAGAGCTCCACCAGAGCTCAGAGAAAAACTGCAGAGGGAAAATGGTGCTGAAGGCAGCGAGGGACAAGAAGGAGAAGATGAGCGTGGCTCTGTGGTTCTCCGAGAGCTTCTGAGAGCATTTCTCCACCAGCGTGTGCCCTCCCCTCTACCTCATTTCTACATCCCGCGCTTTTGCTGTGAAGTACACGGTACTTGTGCTGGACCTGCATCAGCCAGGTGCTTGCGGTGGGACTCCTCCACCTTCTCTCTTGAAAGCGAGCACATCAAAGAGGTACCAAACGGCCACTTCCTAAAGCAATGCTCTACGAAAACACAGGCTAAACTGGGAAAAAGGTATTGTTCCGAGAAGGAAAGTACAGTTGAAAGAGAAAGGTTTGAAAGCACACTGTGAACTGCCTGCCTGCAGGAAGGAGCCTCCTTCTGAATATTTTTTCCGGCTCACCTGGCTTGTGACTTCTCAGCTTAGTTCAAATAATACACAGCTCTGTCTGGACCAGTAAAAAAAACATTTACTTTGTCCCTTCCCCCCTGGGCAGTGGATCTGCTCCCTGCTGTGCTTTGATGAAAGCATGTCCCAGTTGGTACAGATGCTGCAGGCTCCCTCGTAGCTCTCCTGTCGCTCCCTGCCCCTCCGGCACCTCCAGCTGCCCCGGGGAAGCACAACCTTCTCCCATCTCAGGGATTCACTGACCGTGAGAACCGTGAGGCCAAGACCATGGGATCACAGCCCTCAAACACAATACCTGCTATCGAGAGGGGAAAGGTCTGCTATCTGCTGTGCACCAGCCTACAGTGCTATCCACAGTTCTGCTTGCAACCCCATGGTGCAGATGGGTCCAGGACATCAGTTTTCCCGTTGGTGGTTGCCTGTGTAGACCTGGTTCTGGACACGTTGTGCTGGCAGCGCGTTCCAGACTCCATTCTTTCCAGACTTCCATCAGAGCAGCAGGTCTGGACTATAAAATCACACACTGCCTTGCTGGGGCAAGGGCTGTAACTTCTCATCTCAAGCACTGAGCCAGAGGCAAGACTTTCTTTGGCACAGTGACTGGTCCTGTGCAAACGCTGCCTGTGAAGGCAACACATGACAGAAGAGAAAGAAAAAATGAGAGAGCAGGCAGCAAAGCCAGCTTCATGTGTGGGGGCTGATCCAGCCCTGCGCTTGAAACAGGGATGGGATACAAGTAAATTGAGCAGCTGTTCCCCAGATATCCACAACGTTCTTCTGGTTTAAGAAACTCCTTCTCTAAGCTCATCACGGGAGGAGTAAGTGGGCAAATTTAGTGTGTCCATGAGGTGGACCTAGAGAGGAAGGTGGGCAGAGATGTACGAGTGCCACTGGGGGCTCATGAAGACTTGTGTCCCGTGCAGCCACACTGCGGGGATGCAGGAAGGCACCAGCCCTGAGCTCCAGCTGTGGAAGTCTGCCAGCTGCAAGAAACAGCATCTCAGACCCAGAGGCAGGGGAAATTCAGAAATTTGTACACTCAGAGCAAACTATGAGTCATGTAAGGAAGAAACCAGGAAAGAATACACCCTGCTTCTCATGGTCACATGTAGCTTCTGGGGGCATTTGAGAAGAAGGAGAGTGAATGGCACAGGACATGCATTTTTTTGGGGGGTGGGGAAAAAAAAAAGATGCATGCTAAAAAGGTCCTGTGCAACTGTGAGCAAGTAATTTACCCTCTCTTTAACTCAGTTTTCTTCTGAAAAATAGAGATAACAGTACTGCAAAAACTGCACACTGCCAAGATAAGGAGCAGAGACGACGAGGTCTGCAGGCGGGCTGATAAGATAGGCTGTATCAGTACCCCAGATGGAAAGATACCTTAAAACACCCTGACTCATCTCCTGTGGCATTTTGCAACACAACCGGTATCTGTCACGTTGTAAGCCAGCCAATATATTATTACGGTTTACTGTATTTATTAATGTTCTTGTTACTGGAAACAGAGAAGAAGAGAGGAGGGACAAGGCCATCTATTAAAACAAATGATTTCATGGGCAATGCCATAAATAAGAAGCCTGACTGCAGCTTTCATGTGTCACATTTGACTGACGGTGCCCAGGACGGTGAGCTCCCACAAAGTATTTCTCTGCCCGCACCGCAGCAGTTATGGCTATGGGTCCCCCGTTAATTCAGATGATGATTCTCTACTGTCTAATTAGGAAGGATAGCACTGAATCTTTGCTCAGGGAGGGGTTTGGGGTATAAAAAAGGAAACCCTACCGTCTGTTTATTTTCACAAACTCACAGGTACTTAATTATCTCTGAGATGTCTATTTTCCTGTCAAATTTGGCTTAAATTTGTAGCTTTTAGCTACAGGGTCAAAAAATATAAGGGCGTGTGGGAGATTGTGACACACCAGCTGACAGGCACTGCCAGCCTGATCAGGTATGACTTGTTTTCATAATCAGTAAAACTAAAAAAAAGCCATAAAAGAAACTCAAATCAATGCAATGCCCACAGAGAAATCAGGAAAACAGGGGGGAGGGGGAGAAAATAATAAAGAATCGAGGAGAAAATAAACGAAGTTCTTCTTAATACGACCCAAGATGTAGGGAGGCCCCAGCAGCAGGGGCCGGGCGGCGGAGCCTGCTGCGGAGGCGGCCCAGCGAGTCCGAGCGAGCTGCCGTGTGGAAACACCGGATCAGGGAATCGTTTAGGTAGGAAAATACCCCTGAGATCATCAAGTCCAACCATAAATCTAGCACTGCCAACTCCACAACTACCATGCCCTTAAGCACCACATCTACAAGTCTTTTAAATCCCTCCAGGGATGGTGACTCAACCGCTTCCCCGGGCAGCCTGTGCCAATGCCTGTTAACCCTTTCAGCGAAGAAATTTTCCCCAATACCCAATCTAAACCTCCCTGGCGCAACGTGAGGCCGTTGCCTCTCGTCCTGTCGCTTGTTACTAGAGGCAAGGATGCCTGAGCAAGGTGCACGAGCGAAGGTGAATGAGCAAAGTGGGTGAGCAAGGGCGCACAACCTGAAGCACACGAGCAAAGGTGCAC